ATAAGCTTCAGCCTCATTCTGAAGCCTCATTCTGATTTCTGTTTCTGAGAAAATGAGAGGGTCATGGCCAGAATTGCTCTCATTAGTCAAATCACTCTCCTGGTTCTGGGTAACTGCAACTCCCTGCACAGATAAAGGAAGTCTCGTTTGATAGTTTTTGGAGCATTTCACTAATAAAGAAAAAGAGAAAGCCAGAGAGTTTCTAGATACCTGACTGTTCTCATTTACTGTTACCCAAGTCTTTGAATGAAGCATTTAAATAGTATATTTGGAGTTCTGCAGAATGAAAAGTTACAGGAATGTAGAATTCTCTCTCTTTATTCTTTTATTAGAATTAGGAAAAGAACCAGGCATGACCACATAATTGTGACTACTATCACGAAGAATGGGCAGAACAATGGAACAGTGATGTGCTGACAATGCCTTGGATGTGCACAATAGAAAAGCCTTCCTTTTTTGTTTTGTTTTGCTTTTGATGGAGCATCGTGTTCTGGTTGGTTGAGGCCAGGATTATGATGCAAGGTTACCAGGGTTCTAGTCCTGGTGTTTCTGCTGCTGATTCTCATCATTGACTTTGAAAATCTGTTAGTTGCTTTGGGCAACAAATCAGTTTTAAATAGGGGAGGCTAAGTATGTTCTGCCTCTCATGTGGAGAACAGAATAGTATAATGTTGTTTTTATGTAATTTACTTTATGTAATTAAAAATAATACAGCTGACTCTGCTTTCCATTAATTAGGCAATTTCCAATAATGTAGATACCAGTGTTAACTTAATATTTAATTAATTGCTTGGTAATGCATTTATAGAATTAAACTCATTACACGTTTATGTAGTTGAATCATTTGAAGAGATACTTTTAAAAGTGTAGATCATGTTTATTGAGGGCAGAATTTTGCATATTAAATGATGGCCCAAATGATCTCTTGGTAAATAAATATAAAAACACTGATCAAAGTTACTACCACCATTACAGTTGCCATCACCTCCATCATCATCTTTTGAGTTCCTGCTATGGGACTCATTTTCTAGAAGAGGAAAATGAACCTTTTAGAGGGAACCAAGTCACTGAATCTTTAATGGGCTTTGTAAACAAAAAATTAAGAGATCCTTATTATTATGTTTTTAAAACATAGAAACATTTAGAAATGAAAGCTGATAGTTTTCAAGTCTGTGGGCTTTTTTTTTGAAACATTAATTTACATGACTGTTTATAAAATTTTAGCCAGGACATAAAAGTCAGTTAATATGTTTCTTAGAAATTTCAAGTGGACGACTTCTAGCACAGGACTGTAAACCCCTGGGGCTTGGAATATGGTTCAGAGTGTGTTGCTGTAAGTCTGAAGTTTCTCTGCAATGTATTATTTTAAAAATTCATGCAGATATAGTATTCTGTTTTATATATTTTTTGTTTCAACATAAAAATAACTGCTTTAAATTATTCAACATAGGGTAAAAGTTGACACTCCAGGAAGGTTTTCTTGTGGTTTGCCCTTAATGTTGCCTCAGACCCTGAGTGTGAGCCTGGGCAAGGCTTTATGTTGTTTGTAATGGCTGAATTAAAATGAAGGGGTTCAAGTGACTTGCTAATACTCATGTATAAGTTTCTGAAACATTATTTGCAAGCAGATTTTTTGTAACTAGTCTCTGTTAAAAGTTTTCTGTATAAAATTAGGTGTGAATTGGCAGTGATAGGATTTTCTTTTTCTTTTTTTTGTACTCACTTTTCATAGGGAGGATGAAATACAAGAAAGACTGCAGGATAGAGGAAAACCCTTTGAAGTAATGAGCCTGGGTGTGATGCTGGTCTCACTACTTTCTAGCTTTCTGAGCTTGGGCCTATTGTTATTACTTTACCTACAAAAGAGCTTTGATTCTTCCTATGTAAAATGGAATGATACTACCTACTACATTAGCTTGTTGTGAAGATGAAATGAACTAATGTTTTTCTCCTGATCTGAACCCTTCCCAGTGTGTTGTATGCCTCAAGGCCACTAGTTTTCTAGGGCTTGTTCCCTGGCTTTAAACACATTCCTTCTTCTGTAAATCCTAAAATCATACTGATTTAGCTTGCTTTCTTGTGTTCACAGTATATTTTTTCTGACCTTATAAATAATTTTATGTCTTATATGTGGTGAGTTATTCTTGCATATCCTTCTGGGTGAACTGAGCTTTATTTTTAACTAGATTGAATCCTCTCTGACTTACCTGTTTTCGTCTTAGCTATCCTGCTTAACTGTGGGACGTTGATATATGTTCGTCATTAAAAGCTACAGTGGAAAAACTGTTTGAGTATTGTGTTACAAACGGATGTGAGACATTTTGGTTCTGCACAACTAGTATGTTCTTTTGCTTTGGTGAACATTTCTAATCTCCAATAGTTAAAGGTGATTTCTTACAAGATTACAGTGAAAGCAATTTATAGACTTCATTCAATTTCACATAAATGTGTTTATTAGCAAATATGTAAAAACAGATATACAACCTGTCTTAAAAGCCCTATGAATTCCCCGCTGTCTGCCCGTTTAGGTGCCCGTAAGGTGCACATTACATGATAGTTTTTCCTGAGGCAATTGCAACTACATTCTATCAGGAAGATTTTGTTATATACGGAGGGTTGGGTAGACAAGAACCATTGGAACAGAGACTATCATTAGGGTCTTTAAGAATCAAGCCTAAGATGCCAGGCTTAATGGCGCAGTCTGCCATGCTTGCTGAATCTTTTTTTTTTTTTTTTTTGGTAATAATTTGAGATTGGCAGAAAAATTGCAAAGATAATACAGAGTTTTAATATACTTTACCCAGTTTCCTCTATTGTTAGCCTTCTTCATTACCATGGTATATTTATCAAAAGTAAGAATTCAACACTGGTACATTACTGTCAACTAAATGTCAGACTTTTCTCCATAAATACCCCTTTTCAGTTCTAAAATCAAATCCAAGATACCACATTGCATTTAGTCACTAGAGTTTTGTACCATGTTCGTGGAAGGAGTCAGTCCACACATCTTAAACTCTATTAATAAATTTCACCAATGAAAACTTGTCTCTAATATTTACAGCATCTATGATTACCATCACTAGTGTGGATTGGAGAGAAAGATCACTTCCTCTGGGAGTGTGATTCTCTTAAGTCAATGTCAGTTGCCTACCCCTGGAGCATGTCCCAGTTAGGATGGAGATTAAAACTAACACATATGATTCATATAGCTCTGGTATTTTAAAAGTAAATTCCAGGTAATATAAGTGCCATCACATTTTTTTTGGCTTAAACATTAATTTTTCTTTTAAATCTAATTACTCCTGTGATCCCTGGCAACAAAGGGAAATGTCAGAAATATTTGCTGTCCATGAATCTGCATTTATCCTTCTCCAACTTAATGTTTCTGAGAAGCTTTTGCCTTTTTGCCTTCAGGGGTGAACTGGCCTGATCTCAAGAGCTGAGAGGCAAGAAAAAAAATTTTTTTTCTAGTAAAAAGTATTACTTTTGTTTAAGCAGTTTCTTGTAGAATTTCATACTTGTATGTTTTAAGAAATAAGAAGGTGTGCATTTTCTTCAGAACATAGACTGCTGATATTATAGCTGAAGCGAGTTGCTAATGCTATTTTCGGTTTATTTATTTATTCATTCATTTTTGGTACAGTTGTTGAGTGCATTGTGGGAGAAATTGATGACAATGGCATTGCATGTCTGCTCTTCTGGTGAATCTATGAAAATGGAGTAGGGCGGCAGAGGGAAGTTAGTTTCACGTGAAGTGGGGAGTTTCAATCCTAACTCCACCACCTTTTAAAGGTTTGAGACTAGACATGCTGCTTAGCCCCTTCCCACTTTGTTTCATCACCTATAGCATGGAGATAGCGATAAACACCTCCTCAGAGAGCCGAAGGTGACATAATCTGAGGTGATCTATGTAAAGTAATTAAACATATGCTAGCTATTGTTAGTATTAAATGTGTTATTTGGGAAATAGTTGTCAATTGAAACAATTCCAGTCCTGAAGCAGACATCTGTTGAGCTCCACATGTGATGCTCTGGACATGGCACTAGAGACACAGAGAAATGACATGTTCAGGTCCTCAAGGTGTTATATGTAGTAGTGGAGACAGACTGTGGGATACTGTGGGCCAGGCCTGGAAGAGAGACTGGCGAGGAGGGAGAGAAGGCTGCTTGTGAGAGGCAGAGATACAGAGACGAAACCCAGGTGGTCAAGAGGGCAGCAGGCACTGAGCTAAGGCCAAGTTTTAAATTATTGAGGGAGTGTAGGACATAGCGGAGGAGGGCATAGTGAAGGATCCTGTGGAGCTTCAGAGTACAGAATTCTCTGAAGGGGTTCTTTAAGGTGATGCACAGAATCCTTTTGTAAAGTGAGCCATCATAACTTAGCTCTTATTTTACAAATTTGGTTTCAGGCATCCCATTTCTCATTACATCAGACTGAGATGCTTCTGCATGATTTTGTGTTGTTTTTGTATTATATTTTATTTTTAATAAAATAAAATTTTTAGATTTTTGGATTATAAGAGACCTGTAACAGCATCACAAAACTTGGAAAACAGAGAAAAGGAGGAGAAGTACCTACAGTTCCATTACTGTTTGTTAGTATAGGGGATTTCTGTCTTTTTTTATTTAATCCCAGATGTGTCAAAAGCTTTCTTCCTCCCCTTTATGTTGTTAAAATTTGATAACACAAACATTAAAGGACATCTAAGTTATGAAGTGCATGCTCTCTAAGGGGCATTAAAGGAAGAAAGGTTGTAGTGTGAAGGTATTATCCTATGAGGTTTTACTTGGGTGATGCTTTGCAGTGGAATTAGGGGAAGTTAAGCCTTTTTATTGGTGGCTGCCCTCTCCAGTCACTGGTGAGCTGCTGTATCCTGAAACTCTGGGGAGGTTGAGTTGGGGTGGTTCGAAGTCAGAATTTAGCAGAACAATTTTCGTAAGTTTTTAACCTTATACGAGTGCTGCCTCTATTATTAATATTTTTGTTCTATTTACTCTTGTTTTTTTTTTTCAGTGGAAAATAAATTTTATTGAGACCCCACCAGCTGCAAAATCTGTTCCTGGCGTCAAGCTCCTTCTTCCTTTGCAATTCAGTCTTTCTTGAGTGGTCCCATGAATGCTTTCTTCTCCTCTGTGGTCTGGAAGCGGCCATGGCCAAACTTGGAGGTGGTGTCAATGAACTTAAGGTCAATCTTCTCCAGAGCCCGCCGCTTGGTCTGCACCAGCAAGGACTTGCGGAGGGTGAGGACCCGCTTCTTGGTTCCCACCACACAGCCTTTCAGCATGACAAAGTCATTGGTCACTTCACCATAGTGGACAAAGCCACCCAGAGGGTTGATGCTCTTGTCAGACAGGTCATAGTCGGTGGAGGCATTGTTCTTGATCAGCTTGCCATCCTTGATAAGGTAGCCCTGGCCGATCTTATAGATCTTCTTGTTGATCTCAGTGCGGTGATGGTATCCTTTCTGCCCAGCACGTGCCACAGAGAAGGCCACACGGGCAGGATGCCATGCCCCAATACAGGCCACCTTGCGCAGGCCTCGGTGGGTCTTGCGGGGCAGCTTCTTGGTGTGCCAACGACTGGTGACACCTTTGTAGCCTTTGCCCTTGGTCACCCCGATGACGTCAATCATCTTGTCCTGCCCGAACACTTGGTTCACAGGTACCTGCTGTTCCAGCCTCTCGCGGGCTCAGTCCAGCTTCTCGGACACAGTGCCCCTGTTCACCTGGATCTCCATCAGGTGGGCCTTTTTCTGGCGCAGAGGAAGCAGGCGCATCTGGGTGTGGGCAATGACGCGGATGACTTGGCAGTATTTCTTCATGCTGCTGAAGTCCTTCTCCAGCTGCTTCTTGCCATCCTCATCCTGCCATTTCTTGCAGTACTTGGTGAAGGCCTTCTTCTTAGATTTATGCCAGTTCTTATAGAAACGCCTTTTGCACTCATCGCTGATGTGCTCAGCGAAGACAGTCTTGAAGGTCTGGAGGCCTCGAGGGGTTTCCACGTAGCCCACAATGCCCATGACTACCATGGGTGGCGTCTCCACAATGGTCACAGCCTCCACCACCTCCTTCTTGTTCACCTTGGATCCTGGTCTATCGACCTCCCGCACTATATGGGTCATGCCAGCCTTGTATCCCAGGAAGGCTGTGAGGTGGACCGGCTTGGAAGGGTCATCCTTGGGGAAGCTCTTCACCTTCCCACGATGCCTGCTGCTGCGCTTCCGAGGCAGGAAGCCCAGGGACCCATGTCTGGGAGCGGAGAACTTCCTGTGAGACATCACGCGGCCAAATCCAGCCGCTAGAGCCTATTTACTCTTTATTTAATTTAATAAAACTTATTTTACAGCTTTTTTTTTTGAGAAAGAAAAAAAGAATAATAAGAAAAAGAATAAAGAAGAGGAAGAAAGAGAAAGAGGAAGAGGGAGAGAGAATGGGGGTATTGCTTTATTGCCTGGTCTAGAATGCAGTCTAAATATGGGTATGCCTATAATTGTCCTTAATAATGGAGACATGAAAGAAAATGAGGGAAGAGAATAACAAACAAGAAGCCAACCAACATTTCATTTAAACTTCTAAGTTGATATGATGTGGTACTGATAAGAGTGTATATTTTGTGTATTTAAAGTGGAGAGTTCTATAAATGTTAATTACGTTTACTTGTTTCAGATCTGAGTTCAAGTCCTGGATATCGTTGTTAATTTTCTGTCTCATTGATCTGTCTAATATTAATGTTGAAGTCTCCCACTATTATTGTGTGGGAGTCTACGTCTCTTTATTAGTCTTGTATGTCTGGGTATTCCTGTATTGGGTGCGTATGTATTTAGGATTTTTAGCTCTTCTTGTTGTTGCATTGATCCTTTTATCATTATATAATGTCCTTCTTTGCTTCTTTTGATCTTTGTTGCTTTAATGACTATTTTATCAGAGGCAAAAATGGTAACTTCTGCTTTTTATTTATTTATTTTAGCTCTGTTTGGTTGGTAAATCTTTCTCCATCCCTTGTTTTGAGTCTTTGTGTATCCTTGAATGTGAGATGGGTCTGGATGCAGCATACTGATGGGTTTTAGTTTTTTGTCCAAATTGCCTGTCTGTCTTTGGATTGGGGGATTTAGTCAATTTAAATTTAGAATTAATAATGATATATGTGAGTTTAATATTGCCATTTAATATTAGCTGGCTATTTTGCCCATTAGTTGATGTAAATTCTTCATTATATTGCTGCTCTTTACTTTTTGGTATTTTTTAGAAAGGCTGATACTGTTTGTTTCTTTCTATGTGTAGTGGTTCTTTCAGAAGCTCTTATAAAGCAGGCCTGGTGGTGATGAAATCTCTGAGTGCTTGCTTGTTCACAAAAAACTTTATTTTTCCATCACTTATGAAGCTTAGTTTGGCTGGATGTGAAATTCTTGGTTGAAAGTTCTTTTCTTTAAGGATGTTGAATATTGGTCCCCACTCTCTTCTGGCTTGTAGGGTTTCTGCTGAGAGATCTGCTGTAAGTCTGATAGGCTTCCCTTTGTGGGTAACCTGACCTTTCTCTCTGGCTGCCCTTAGTATTTTCTCCTTCATTTCAACCCTGGTGAATCTGACGATTATGTGCCTTGGAGTTGCTCTTCTTGAGGAATATCTTTGTGGTGTTCTCTGTATTACCTGGAGTTGAATATTATCCTGCCTTACTAGGTTGGGAAAATTTTCCTGAGTAATATTCTGAAGCGTATTTTCCAGTTTGGATTCATTCTCTTCGTCACATTCAGGTACACCTATCAAGCATAGATTAGGTCTTTTCACATAGTCCCATATTTCTTGGAGACTTTGCTCATTCCTTTTTATCCTTTTTTCTCTAATCTTGTCTTCTTTTATTTCATTGAGTTGGTCTTCGACCTCTGATATCCTTTCTTCTGCTTGATCAATTTGGCTGTTAAAACTTGTGCATACTTCACGAAGTTCTTGTATTGTGTTTTTCAGCTCCATCAATTCATTTATATTCCTCTCTAAATTGTGTATTCTTGTTAACATTTTGTCAAACCTTTTTTCAAAGTTCCTAGTTTCTTTAGATTGAGTTAGAACAAGTTCTTTTAATTCACAGAAGTTTCTCATTATCCACATTTTGAAGCCTGCTTCTGTAATTGGAACACACTCGTTCTCCATCAAGCCTTGTTTCGTTGCTGATGAGGAACTGTGATCCCCTGCTGAGGGAGAGGCATTCTGCTCTTGGGTGTTCTCAGCCTTTTTTGGCTGTTTTCTTCCCTTCGTTGTAGATTTATCCATCTATGGTCTTTATAATTACCGTCTTTGTAATTGGATTTCTGAGTGGACGTCCAACTTATTGATTCTCAGCGCCGAAATCTGAGCAACGCACTGTGCCGACTAAATCAGCGGGTTAAGATTGATGGTGCTTTTCTAACTCTGCAGCAAGAACCGATGTTCTCAGGTGCCGGCAAAACCGCCTCGCCGGTCACAAGAGTCGCCCTGGCGACCTCCGCTGGGAATCTCCTGGTGAGCAACAAGAATTCATGTGAAGGTGTGGCATCCTCTCGTTCTTTGTGCTTTCACTGGGAGCTACAATCCCGAGCTGCTAGTGATCAGCCATCTTGGATCTCTCCCAAAACTTATTTTAAAAGGTAACTCTGTACCATTGTTATGTGATTAAGACAAAGTAACTGTAACATTGTTTTATTTTCAATCTTTACATTGAAAATAAAACAATGTCATTAACTTCTCATCGGATACTGATAGTTGCCAAAGGTTCTCAGCTACATTTCTGCTTTGTTAAAATGGGAGATTACCAAATGTTGAAGATTTATTAAAACTATTCTACCACTAAATATAGACTTTATTTCAGTAGAACTATTGAAATAAAATTTTTATATAGTGTTGTCATTTCTTTTTCTTTTAAAAAATTTTATTTTTAGGAACATGTGACCATGGCATTATTGTGTGGTAATTTAGTTTGAAAGTGATTTGCTGTAAAGGGTGTTATTCTTCTCTAATTTTCTCCTTAGAGTCTGGTTAGTTATTATTCCAGGAACCCTTATAAGGAATTAACATCTTTAGAATTGAATATTTAGAACTTCAAATACTGGTTTAGAAATGTACCATAGAGGGTTTAATGAGCCTGAGGGATATTAGGAATAACTTTGCATGCATGAGATGAGTGCCTCTTGTATGAATGAGTGGTGGGAAGCCCAAGAGTCACTGTAGTTTCACCAAGACACTGGTTTGTCCCACCACCAGGATACCCTGTTGTCTCTCTGGGAGTGAGTCTGTCATGTTAGGTGATGGCAGGAAGAAACTGGGACTTCCTAGACCTATAAAACATATTTGCTGGCTGCAGGTTAATATATGTACCTTTGGCTGAATGTAATCTATGACTTGATATCTTTGTAACAACTTGTGAGGAATGGGATATTTTCCCTGGTAGCAAGCTTGTGAGGAATGGGATATATAGCCTGTACCTAGCTTAACTGATGTTTACTCAAAAACCCAGTCCTCTTCTGAACAGCTCAGCTTACAATGACTTTCTTACTGACTGATTCAATGAAATTTAATGCCTAGTCTGTTACCAAGCAACATATCCTGAATTTTGGAAAATATGGCCCTAGGGAAAGCTATGATTGCATAACTGGCTGGTTTTCTAACAGTTTCGGGTAGATACTAATATTTTTTAGTGAGGGACTGGTGTTTCTTTTGTTAAATTTTAATTCCTGATCTTGTGGACTGATACTATGAATTACTAGAAAAACAAAATAAGAGCTAAGCTTACAAAATATAAAATCCCAGACTTACTATTATTTGATTCAATAGACATAATTAAATTTTGTTATATAATAATAAACATAGCATAAGAAAAAAATTATAAAAATTATAGTTACAAAAACTGTACACATACATGTTCCTTGAAAGCATGTATATAGACAGGTAATATAGAGAATTCTTATTAATGAGGAACTGTGATCCCCTGCTGAGGGAGAGGCATTCTGATCTTGGCAATCATAGCTAAAAAAATGGCTTTAAGAGAAATAATGATTTCCTGTATGTTTATATGCATTCTTTGAACATAGACTGTCTATATCAGTATTTAGTTTTTCATGCTACAAATGAGCTTGCTTCCTGCTTGTTAAATAATCTACACCATGTTGGACTGATGATAATGCTACTCACCAGGCTTAAGGCCTATCTAAAAATATTTTAGGTGTTTTTTCTTTTTCTTTTTTTCTTTTTCTTTTTGTTTTTCTTTTTTTTTTGTTGTTGTTGTTGTTTGAGACAGAGTCTTGCTCTGTCACCCAGGCTGGAATCCAGTGATGTGATTTCAGCTCACTGCAAACTCTGCCTCCTAGGTTCAAGTTGATTCTCATGCCTTAGCCACTCGAGTAGCTGGGATTACAGATGTGAGCCACCTTGCCCAGCTATTTTTTTTTTTTTTAGTAGAGATGGAGTTTTACCCTGTCAGCCAGGCTGGTCTTCAACTCCTCACCTCAAGTGATCCGCCCACCTCCACCTTTCAAAGTGTTGGGATTATAGGCATGAGCCACCACACCTGGCCTAGGTTTTGTTTTAATAACACTCATAGTAGTGAAACCAGTTTTGTGGAGGGTATGTTAACAGGAATGGAAGAAGAGATTTTTAATGTCAGCAACCACAAGATATTAACTTTCTACTTTTATCCAAAGTAAAGCTATTACTTTTAAAATTAATC